TTATCTTTTTTATTAAAATAATATTTAACATGATTGCAATGTAATTACCGAAGGTACTACGTATTGTATATTAACAAGTAGATTATTAAAAATATTATATATGAAGGCTCAGCAATTTGCCCTAAAGTATTGTAGCGCAACCCAGATAGCATAGAGATGAACAGAAATTCCTAGAGAATTCATTTTAAAGAATAGATATAGAATTAGAAAAATAAATACATGAAGAATTCTTGAAGAATTAACCACAGTAAGTTCGTCTTGAAATATTCCTTAGGACTTCATTATAGCGAATACTTCGCAACTTAATTCCTAGAACACTTTGAGAATTCATGAGGAATTAGGGCTAAGGCAGAGAACGAGACGTAAGCGTCGTAATCGTAGACATAAAGTAAGGCAGAGAAAAGCGTAAGGCTAATAGCCTTTCATGATTTACGTTTTTCTCTGCTTTATTTTACGTCTACGATTATGACGCTTATGTCTCGTTCATCTGTCTTAGCCCTTACAAATGTTTTGTTTACAGCAATTACTTTTTGCGTTTTACTATATTCAGTACATGCCAGTGAGTGTATAATAATTAATTTACATATTTACATATAAATTGTTTAATTTATTGTTATTCGCAGTTATTTATATTTTGTGGAATTAATTATATAGTTTTATATAATAGGACAAAGAGAGGGAATTGATGTTAAAATAACTTTTGATATATAAAATTTTCACCTGTATCAATAATAAATATATTTATGCGAAGTATATTTTATCCTTAAGTTTGTATTCATGTTTCTAAAATCCATATATAGTTCTAACAAACTCAATCGCATTATTTTAAAGCCATTTATTTTTGGATTTTGAATTACATATTTGAAAATGCGCTTTACTTACATTTGAAGCTCAGTTAGAACCGTATATACAGGGTGTCCCACCACTACCGCATTATCTCTTAAGGGCGGATTCCTGAGGTAATTTAAAGATAAAAATCCTAATGCAAAAATGTCGAAGCTATAATACTTTTCAAATTATAAGCAATTAAAGTTGACCAATTATATTGGCTGAAGTACGCGCGCTCAGGTACGGTACAACACACAGTGGTACAGATGCATGCACATATCGCCCCTTTTCCAAATATTGATACGGAAGCTCCATACATACGACAACATATGTAATAATAATCTGCCTTTCCTATCATTTAAATAAACATATCGCAAACAATAACAATTTCGTTAAAATGTTATGAATAGAATATCACAAAATACATTTATGAGAATCAATAAGCTGTCACAACATTTGACGTTTCTTTCAGAGATTTACATCTAATTTCATATCTTATGCAAATTCTCACTTATGGTAAAGAAGTTTGCTACATATCGGTAAATCAATCAATATTTCTTGTAAACTATTAACATAAATTAAATCAAATTAATACACATAATACGCATATGTCGATAGTATTGATTTTTTATCTATGGAGTAG